AAAAGAAAAGCTAGATTTTTACTTTATTTTAGATGCAAAAACAAATTCTAGATGGAATAATGACCTATGTATAAATTTCAAAACCAAGAAATATTAGTAATAAATGTTAAGACTGACCACATACATTTTATCTCTCCTCCCTCTGGAAACATTGCTAAAATGACAGTAAAGGAATAAGAATGGAAAGCTCCAGAAGGGAGGTCATCAGAGGAAAAAACTAGAACCGACAGGCATATGGTAGAGATGTTGGAGGTCTTGACAAAAATTAGCAATAGGTTCAATGAAAACCAAGTAACAAAATGCAAAGCAAAACAAAACAAAGGCAATTATTAACTTCTGGAAAAAGAAGATCTACAAGAAAAAAGGCAGCTTTGTGGGCCCTGTGGTCTGTTACCACTACTTAACTGTAGCACAAACAGCCCCAGACAATATGTAAACAAATCAGCAAAGGTGTGTTCCAATAAAAACTTAATTTACAAAAATAGAGCCATAGTTTGCTGACCCTCATCTAGGGCACATACCTGGAAAGAGAACTGTTGGCTCACAGGGTATGCCTTTGCTACATAATACCAAATTATTCTGCAGAGAGGTACCAGTTTGTACTCTCAGGAGCCACACACATATTTGCTGATACTTGCTACGACTTGTTAATTTCTGATGCCCTGATACAAAATGATTTTACTATGGTTTTAACTTGTATTTCTCCTATTATTGAGGTAGAACATCTTTTTATGTTTATTAGCCATTTGTAATTTTTTCCTTCATGAAGTGTTTATTCATATCTTCCGTTAAAGGTTTTTTTGGAGGGAAGTTGGGGTTAAATGTGTAACAAGTTATTCTCTCAATTAGTGGCTTGTCTTTTCAATTTATGGTTAGTAAAGTTTTTGTCAATGTGTTCCTATTTATCCAAGTTTTCCTTTAAGAAATAAACTTATTTGTGTTTTTATCTTGTTTAGGAGCACACATTCTGACACTAGACACCTGCTAGCTGATCTTGGGCAAGTTTCCCCTCTGCCTAAGTTCCCTCATCTGTAAAATGATAATAATTCAGACTTTGAGACTGTTATCATCTGAGCAATAGCTTTTTCCTATGATGAAATATAAAAATACATGATTCTAAACCATTCATATAGAAATATCTTTGGTTAAATTTTTATAACTTACCACATTTATATAGTCAGACATATAGTTCAATTATATAAATTATGTCATAAAAGAAAGCTCCAAGGAAACATATTTCTAATACCCAATTGTACATCAATATCAGCATGTTTCTACCCACCCTTCAATGGTTTTCTTGAGTTTGCTTTGTTGAGAGTCAAGGTGGCTAAAGTTTGCAGGACAGGTACTAGAGAACTGCACAAAGCAAGAGCTCCAGAGATCTATAAAGTGTACCTTTTACGTCTTCAACTGAGTAGAGCTCCACACAGAGAAAACTACCCAAGGCCAGGGAAAGAGCCACTAAAGAATTAGAGGGAACAATACTCAGTGTTCATGCATGGTCAGGAAAAGTTCCTATTCCCACCAGTCATTTGAAAACCTCATAATTCATGGGACAACAGGTAGGATGCTCAAAAGGGTTTTATTTCCATGGTAAAATAAAATTAGTCTGAGACTAAGTGCTCCTTTGGTCCCACCTAATGAAGCTTAAAAGCAAGAGTGAAAAGGATCAGGTTACTTCCGTAACCACAACCCAGAACAAACCTCAAGGGTATTTACAGGCATACGAGCTATCTAAGAACCAAAAAGGTAAAATTAACAATGTCTGGCATCCAACCTAAAGTTACCAGGCCCACAAAGAGGGAGGAAAACACAACCCATGATGAGGTGAAAAACCAACCAACCCAGCTGACAGAATTAGGAAGCAAATAAATTAAATCAGCAAAGACACTATAAAAGAAACTAGCCAAAATGAAACACAGAGAGAAAAACAGACTGGCAGAAAACACACCAAATTTTCAAAAATCCTATCTCTAAAGAGAGTAATGAAGAATGAAGGTGAGTTTCACTTTTTACTCTACCTCCATTATATGATTTTTTTTTTTACAAGAGCAAAACAACAATAATCATAGCTAATACCTACTAGGCACTTACAATATCACAAATCCTCTTCTAAGTTCTTTGTGTGTATTAACTCATTTAATTTTCACAAAAACCTAAGAAATAAGTACTAGCACTATTTCTGTTTTACAAATAAAGAAATCGAGGGACAGAAAGGTCAAATAATTTACCTACAGGTAATAGGAGGTGGAGTTGGATTTGAACTCAAATAATCAGATTCCATCTTCCTAACTGCTGTTATACAGCTTTCCTAGTAGATACTTTATAATTTTAAAAACATAGTGTATTAAAACTATAATTGATATAGTTATTCATAACACAATATATCCCAAATCTGGTTTAATAAGTTACCTGATGGTTAACACATGTCAAATGTTCAATAGTTTTCTCTAATTCTGACTTTCCATGAAGACTCATTTCCTGGATATTCTGAAAAAGAATTTTATAGAAAATGTTCATTTATATCAGATAATAAAACAAAATCACCAAGGTAAGCAATGCAAGTCTACAGTACTATTATATTCTATTTGTCTTTTTATAAAACATGCAAATGTTTTAGAAAAAAATCATTACACATTTTATAAAAATGATGCCTTTGGTTAAAAAAAAAAAAAAAAGCACAATAGGTTCTCATCTTTTATACTCTCTACCTCCATGTGTGATTGTGGCAGAAGACAAAGACTGGTATGGATTCATTTGTAAAGATTTATACAGATCAATCCATACTAGCACAACTATAGAAGGACAGAACCAGCAAGCTAAGTCACGACCTCAGGAGTATGACCTCACAAGAGGAGCTGTAACAGAAACAAAATGCAAAGGAAGAAAAAACAAGATTAGAAAGACCTAGGAATCAGAATACCACGTGGCCATGCAAAGAGATCACAGTTTCAAGAACAGGCTGGTCAGTGGTATAAACACAGGGGCTATTTTTCTAGTCAAATGACCTATCCAACTCTTGCTGCTGCTAAGTAATAGTGAGATAACTGGGTGCTCACTGAGAGTTTTTCTAGTGTGGATTCATACTTCCATCCACAGTGTTCATTAAAAAGAAATAAAGACAGCTAATGTTTGGATTATATATTTGCTTGAAAGGGTCACTATACTGTACATACTTACTCATTTATTAAATGACCCAGCTAGTATTAATTGGGTATATACTCTATACCAAGCACCAGGCAAGGTGTTAGGAATACAGTAGTGAGTAAAATGGATACAGTCTCTAACTTCATAGATACTATAGCCTAGCATAAAAGACAAACTTTAAACAAGATTCACAAAATCCATGAATATTCTGCTAGGAAAAGGAATTTTATGCCAATTTATCAAGAGAAAATCTAGAGTCTAGGGTTCATTTTCTATCTGAGGAAATGCTGTTTAACCCAGACTTAAAGGATGAACAGGAATTAGCTAGACAAGGAGACTGAAAGGTATGAAGGAATCTTTTTTTTTTTTGGAGGCAAAATGCAGTGGTGTCATCATAATTCACTGCAACTTCAAACTCCTGGGCTCAAGCGGTCCTCCTGCCTCTGCCTCCCAGAGTGCTAGGATTACAGGCATGGCGTGAGCCACTGCACCTAGCCTGAAGGAATCTTTCAATAATAGTTTGTGTAGAACGCAGAGGCAAGAAAAAGTCCATTAGGCCTGGAGTCTTGAGAAAAAGTAGGGTGAGAAACAAGGAAGATGAGTTTGGGAAAAAGAAGCTAGACCTTGAAATAGACAAGGGTCATCATTCACTGAAGTCTTTGAAAACAATTAATGGATCATAAATAGCAAGCGACACGATCAGATTTGTATCTTTGAAGGATGACTCTGACTTCAATGTAAAATACAGATTTGAGAGAGACAAGGCTAGTACAGAGGCCACTAGTACAATAACGCAGATGAGAAAGAACAATGAACAGAACAGGATGGTAGCAGGGAAATGGAAAGAAGTAAATAAATTCGAGAGAAAGTAACATGAGCTCAGGAGCCAAACTCCTTGCGACTCCCACCTGGGTGACCTTGGGCAAGTTATTCAAACTCACCGTAACTCAGAGACCACCTCTGTAACCAGTACCTATCAGAAAAGGCTATTGAGAAGATTTACTGAGATAGCCCACGCAAAAAGCACTTAGAACAGCACCTCCCACATTGGAAGGGCTTAATAAATGTTAAATAATATTTAAGAGGCAGCATTGATAGGACTTGGTGATTGAGAGATATGAGCTTTCAGGGCCAGCTTAGTGATAATACTTGGACTTGACAACTGGTTAGATAGTGGAGAAAGAGGTAACACTGGAGGAGACTTAAGGATTGAGATGACTAGTTCAGTTTTTAAGTAAAGACCTGTTTGTAAACTCACAAAATCCTGCCTCCTATAACCCATAAGGATTCTGGTAATATGAATGTTATCTTTTCTGAGTTTTCAGTACTATTGCATTTCTTTAATCCCATTTTTATATTCCTTGGTCATTTCAACAGATATGGAAAAGGATAAGGCAGGAGCTTGTGCTAAAACCTGCCAAACTGACAGAAGTTTCCCATTTGGTAATTTTAACACTTATTTTTATAACACTTTCTGGAACGCAGTATTCCAGAAGATTCCAATTAAAAGTATTTTTAAACTGTATTTTGGGGATAAAACTAACTAAAAATTTGTGACATAAAAGCTAGCCTTATAATGCTTACATGTTTTTATTCCTGATTTTAGCTGCTTTCAAAGTACTAATTTAATAATATTAATTGCACATAAACTATGGAATCTATAATAACGGTATTTAGTATTTATACTGTGCTAAGCACCATTAAGTGCTATGTATTAATG